CAGCAGCCACTGAGTTTTGAAACTCAAATCCAGCACTATAGAAGCTTTTCAGAAGATCACAAATGGGGACCCCTTCAGTCTTAGGCCCTCTACCTTCCAACCTGGCTAATCTTCTTTCTTTCTTTTCCTCCATGACTCTTCTCTTATCAGCTTTAGTGGGCATGTATCACAACCCAAATCTATCCTTATTCTCATGGAGCTGTAACCAGTTTGTTGCTTTCGATATGACTTGCCCTAACATGTATCCATACTGACAACCTCCATCGAGCATGACTTTAGCAGTCATTATGGATGTATTAGACAATCGAGGTTTTAAGATTGGAGCTTCCTCTCCAACATAAGTAGCATTTGCAATCTCTAAAGCCTGAAAAGAGGTCTCTAGAGCTTCTTCAGCAGCTTCAATATAAGGAGTGGACGAAGGCTTCACCAACACATCTTCTTCACCAGAGACAATCACCAACTTATTATCAATGATAAACTTCAGTTTCTGATGCAATGTGGATGGTACAACTCCTGCAGAATGAATCCAAGGCCTCCCCAAAAGACAGCTGTAAGCTGGCGCGATGTCCATTACTTGAAACAAAATCTGAAAAGTGCAAGGACCGATTTGGATTGGGATTTCAATTTCTCCAATGACCTCTCTTCTTGTTCCATCAAAAGCTCTTACTATCATGGCACTGGGTTTCATATGCGACCCATCATAAGGTAATTTTGACAATGTTGCTTTTGGCATCACATTCAGAGAAGACCCATTGTCAATAAGCACTCTAGCAATAATGTGATCTCGACATTTCACAGAAATATGCAGTGCTTTATTGTGCCCCATTCCTTCGGTAGGTACTTCATCATCAGCGAAGGTGAGATAATTGTTTGAAACAATATTACCAACAATGCCTCCAAACTTGTCGGTAGTGATATCATGGCTGACATGAGCCTCATTCAACACTTTCAAAAGAGTCCTCCTATGTGGCTCAGAGTTCAACAACAGCGATAAAAGAGATATCCGTGCTGGAGTTCTGTTTAATTGTTCCACAACTTGATATTCACTTTGTCGAATAAATTTCAAAAACTCACAAGCTTCTTCATCTGACACCGTTTTCTTTATTTCAGGCATTTTCTCTTCGTCGGCGTCTTCAAACTCACCCACTTTGGCTTTCCCTTTTGAGGATCTCTCTATCTCTTTTGTTCGCTTCTTTCTCAGCTCCTCAGGTGTGTAAATACGACCGCTACGGGTCATCCCACCAACACCAGCAATGTTTGAGACGGCGACAGTATCAGAATTGACACCTTGTGTTTCATTTTCCTTAAAATTGCCAACGTAAACCCCTGCATCATACTTCCATGGTACTGCTTTGTTGTCCTTGTAAGTGAATGGAGCCGGTACTTGTATAGTGATGGGTCTAGGTTCGTTGGTAGTTGGGGTATTCATACATTTGGTGTAATGAATGACCAAAGGTTTCGGGAAAGCTGAGGATTGCCCATCGACAGTCAAAACTTCATTTTTCTCTTTAGGGTGTCCAATTTGGACCAGATGCTTGTCCATCAAGGTTTGTAGAACATGCTTGAATTCTTCACAATCTTCAATGGAGTGGTCTGCATCAGGGTGCAAATCACATATATTTCCTTCATGTACAAAACCCTTGATTAAGTCTGTCTTGCACAGCTCAGCAAAAATAATCTTAAGAGGAGTGGTAACCTTTTCAACTTTCCTCTTTAAAACATATGTAGACTCTTCCTCGACGGCATTTACCGATGATCCTCCATGCCTGGGTAGGGGATTACTCCTAATGTTAGGATTATCCTCCTTGAAATTTAGCCATTTGGCATTAATTAGGTCTTGCACTTTGAACTTTAATGCCCTACAATTCTCTGTTGAATGACCAATGCCACCAGCATGATACTCGCACTTAGCGTTTGGGTCATACCCTCTTGGATAGGGCGGTTCTACAGGTTTCATTGGGCAGGGTACAACTAATGAACTTTGGAATAGGCGAGGTAGTAACTCAGTGTAGGACATGAGGATTGGGTCGAATTGAACTTGCTTCCTTTCCTGATTGTTTTGGGGTCTTATTTGGTTGGGATTTGGGTTTTGGTTCCAATGTTGGGGTGGTCTCATGGGTGGTGCTATGGGAAAAGTAGGCGGAGCAGGTTGGTAGGGTCGCGGCTGATAAAATTGGAGACTTGGATTCTGTGAAACAGCATTGACATATGGGTAAGACATTTGAGGGATAGGAAATGTGGGTTGGAATTGAAAAGGTGCAGGGTTAGGTCTGATGAAAGAAACTTCTCTTGGGTGAAAGGCTATAACATTAGTCTCTCCCTCCTTCTTTCTTCCTGGACCATTTGTAAATTTCTTCAAACTGGAGGGTCCGTCCGAATTGTGAAATATCTTACCACTCCTCATTCCTCCTTCCACTCTTTCTCCGATAATCACAATATCAGAGAAGTTTGACGAAACACTTCCAATCATTCTATCATAGAAAGGTGATTGAACAGTATCAATAAACATAGCCACCATTTCTTTTTCAGACAAAGGGGGCTCCACTTGAGCTGCAACTTCTCTCCATCTCTGGGCATATTCTTTAAAAGTCTCATCCTCCTTCTTTAACATATTCTGCAGTTGTAATCTATCAGGAGCCATATCAATGTTGTACTTATATTGCTTTAGGAAAGCATCAGCCAAGTCTTTCCAACTACGAATACAAGTACGCTCAAGATGCATATACCAACTCAAAGCTCCTCCAATTAAACTGTCTTGAAAAATATGAATTAGCAGCTTATCATCATGGGCATGTGATGCCATCTTTCTACAGTACATGATCAGATGACTCTTTGGGCATATTGTTCCTTTGTACTTATCAAAATCAGGCACTTTGAATTTTGGAGGAACTATCACATCTGGGACTAAACAAAGATCTGCAGCTTCCCCAATGCCATAGCTGCTCCCCTCGATAGCTCTCAATCTTTCTTCCAATATTTGTAATTTTTCTCTGGATTGGAAGTGCTTCTCTGAGTAATTGGGCTGGGGTTCTTCTAAGGTCTTATGGGAATGGAATGGTGATATGGCTGGGTTTCCATTAAGGCTAGGATTAGTGATTTGTGGTTGGTGGTGGATCGGTTGGTTTGGGGTAGGTATAATGTGGGGTATATGAGCTTCTTGGGGATGGGTATTTTGAGGGTAAGCATATGATGGGATGGATGTTTGGGTTGGTTGGATTTGTGGATCTGAAGGTTGTGCAGGATTGGGTTGATTTAATGGCTGGCCAGTGTTTTGTAGGTTCTCAGCTATTGGTGGCGTATAACCTTGGGGAAGGCCATATGGGGGAAATTGGACATCTTGTTGATTAAAAGCTTGTTGTGGAGGCCTTTCTACATGCAAGGTCAAAGGCACCATTGTTTCATGAGGAGGAAAATTTTGGGACGGTCCTTATGTAGGGGTAAAACCTGGTGGATAGGTAGGAGTGGGTTGTGCTGGAGGTGCTTGAATAGAGGTCCCCTCTGTGGTTCTTCTCTCTAAAGACTTCAGTGCCTCTAGGATTTGTGCCATTTGTTCTTTCAACTGATTAACATCGTTCCTCAGTTCTTCCTTGTGCTCCTCTAACTCATCCATAATCCTTGCTTGAGCGCGAGTTCTATAAGGATGCTTTAGAAAACGTTTTCCCGTTATATTTGTTTAATTTTTTGAAATAGTTTGTAGTAAAAAAAAGAATTAATCAAAATGAAAAATGCACTAAAAAAAAAAAACCAAAGATTAAAGAATCATCACAGTTGTTGAGCGTCTTCAAGTCTTTAATGGAAATTAATATAGGATCCTCGTCAAATGAAACACACCAAAATATAATCCATAATCAAAGTACATCAGAATTTGATTCAAAATACATCTTCTTTTTCCTACCCATACATAGTCTACCCATACCCAAAATCATTACATCACCCCTTCCTAGCCCTAGCTATCATTCCTTTCATCTCTGAGACCAACCAGTTGCAATGGCTAAGGAAATCTTTAATTTCTTGAGGTATCGTGTAGAAAAAAGTAGTTGTCTCAGCCTTTGACAACATATACGGGACATCATCAATCGCGGCATTAGCTAATGATGAAAGTTGTATGAAGCGCTTGATCCAATACTCAATGAGCTTATCTCTTTCTTCTATCTGACCATCTTTCACTTTCACAATAGCTTCATACTCTTTCATGATTCTGATCACTTCCCATTTTTCAGCATTAATTTCAGCCTCGCATGCCATGACAATTTCCTTTATCTGTTCTTCCATATTTTGCACTCGTGTTTGGACTTCATTGGCTTGAGTCAAAACTTCTTCTCGATCTCTTTTTGCTTTGTACAATGTACCTTTCAATTGTCGTTTCTCATATAAAGCTGCATTTCGCTCCTTCACCCTCATCCCAATTCCTTGCTTGCAGCCTCAAGGCAACGTTGAACTTTGGCTGCATGGCTTTGCACAGACTTCTACTTCTTACAAACCTCTTCATAGGCTTGCTGTTTTTCACTATTTTCTCTTTTCAAAATGGTGCAAGTTTGGCGGCTCTCTCGAAGCTCCCTTTCTACCCTCACATTCTTCTCAATCATTTTAGCCAGTCTTACCTTTAATTCTTTTACTTCTTCATTCTCAAAGGGTTCTGGATTAGATGGCTCACTTTCTTGGGAGGTACCTGGATCTTTGAATGGTAACTTAATCTCTTGGACTCTTTCTTTAACCCATTGACGGTAACTTGCTTTTGCTGCACAACTTCTCACGCCTAGCTCTTTTCCTTTTCGAACAAATCTTGCCCAATCATTCCTTGCTTTTTGGATAAGCTCCGTGAAATTTCCATCTTCATAATAGACAACAAAAGGAACCAATAATTCCTCAGCAGGTGGTCCCATCATAGGATAAGCAAGCTGACGTTGCCCCATAATTGGATTATAATTTATACAACCCCGAGTACCCATAAGAGGAACATTTGGATAATTGCCGCAATGATAAATAATGGCCGTCGACTGTTACCATGGAGTGTGCCACCTGATGTGTCCTTCATTCAAACTAGCTAGGTGATTAGCCCACTCTTGACCATTTTTTTGCCCAATTTGAAACCTCAGCAAATCAGCGATCAGACACTTGATCTCACTTGGCCTTTTAAAGACATGAGCTGTGAGCCATATATAAAGCATAGGTAGACAACATATAATCTTCTTTCCTTTCCTTTCATCGCAGAAACTCAGTGTACAATAAACATCAGCTAGTATTGCAGAAACAGGATTTTCAGATCGATTTTTGCATGCAAGAAACACATCTATCGCTGCTAAATCCACAAAGTTGTCATGCCTTGGGAAGAGGACAATGCCATAAATGGTGAGTGCTAGGACATCCATGAAAGTTTCCCAATGTTCTTTTTCTACCAAATTATGCATGTGTCGTTCAAGAAAATCTCTTGTGAATCCCCTATTCTGATGTCTTTCTTGATAAGCTTGTTGCAACTCTGCTGGATGGATCCTTAAGACATTGGCAATAGTTGGTAGAGATGCATGATGTTCCATAGGGCGATATGGCTGTTGACCCTCCAAAGGCAAGTCTAGAATTTGCTCAAATTCCTCTAAGGTCGGAGCTAACTGAAAATCCTGAAAAGTGAAGCACCTCAATGGGGAATCATAATACTGGGCTAAAGCTGTTATGGCATCTTCTTGCACATTCACTTCCATCAATCTCAAAATATTTCCATATCTCCTCACTAAAGTGAGTTGTTGGACTGTCTTCAGCTTCTTTCCTAACCCTCTTAGACTAGCCGTGTCAGCCATTTTAACTCTCAGATGCAATTTCCTCCTCAGCTCAACTGATCTCACATCACTGCTACTTGATCCCACATTAATTTCCATTTTCTTGAATACTCGAACAATTTTGTGATTCTCAACCTATGAATAAAAAGAAAATGATGAGAAATTATTTCAAATTTTGTATTTGTTTCATTAACATAGGATCCTAGTAGCCATAAGGATTAATATTGATTCTAAACAGATAAATGTCCATATAAGAATCAACATTAATCCTAAATGAATCAATAATCTACTAGGATTTTTATTAATGAAACAAATATGTGATGACTATGATAATGCGAAAACAATATGAATCACCACCCTTTTTAAGTTTTTTTTCCAGTTTTTTCTCTTGATAAATCTAAATTGATACTTATAAGGGTAATGCTTCACATGACAATGCAATTATGTAAGAAATTATGCAAATTGTCATCCTTAACCTTATTTCAAAACTGATTTTAAATTTATTACAAGCGTCGCAAGGATGGCAATAAGCATGATATTCAAATAAATGATATGCAATGATAAATGAAATGATGATGATGTAAGAAAAAATTAATTAAGAGAATCATGTGAATTACTAGTCCTTATATTATTCCAAAAAAAAATCTTCTCCTTTTTTATTTAAAAACTTTAAGGCATTAATAATTCACATAATTTCTAAAAGAATAAATAAGGAAAGAATACCCCCTTTTGTGTCCTATTTCAGGTCACCTAAAGGGTCTAACTTAAAGATCTACAACTTTCTTTTACGTGTAAAAACTCACAAAAGGTGGCTTGTAATCCTAAAAGGTCACTAAAGCTAAGATCCAATCCTTGATGTTGACCACAACAGTAGGGAGTCTACTAGATGCGGGACATCAAGAAAAGGTCAAACTCTAGTTAGGGTTTTCACGATAGCCAAATAGGACATGCATCCAAAATGACACCGCTACATAACCCCTCTAATCCTAAGCATAATCAGACCCGGGTATAGGGCCCCGCTCAAAGTGTGTGATAAATGTGTAAGTGGTAGTGTGTGAGGGAGCATACAAACCTTATCAACTCAACAAAAATAAAAAGCTGCAAAAATTAAACAACACAAGAATATACAAATTATCAATAGTCATCTACCCTAGGATTAATAACAATATCAATATGAGCATACAATGAGATTACGCAATTCATACACGAAATACATGCACGAATAAAAGAAACACTACAATTGACTCAAATAAATAAAAAAGAAAGGGATTAAACAAATAGAAACAAAATAAGACAAATTCGCACGATCAATTATCAAAGGCTTGACTCTCTAAAAGATTTTCCCAGTGGAGTCGCCATATGTCGCAACCGGGCAATCGCAACGGTACAACGAATGACAAACTTGTTCCAAAATATCAGAGGAGTCGCCACCAAAGTTTATTTTTAAGAAAAACCTTGGAAAAACTTAAATATAATACGATCTTTGAAACCAAAAAATGAGTTTGGGAGTCATTTACGTGTAGGGAAGGTATTAGCACCCTACAACGTCCGTTTAAAAAACGGTTACCTAAAATTAATTGTACAAAATTATTCTAATTTTGAAAAATATTTATTTAACCCCTAAACATTAATTATTTTATTTTAGAAGAAGAAATATTATTTATTGAAATATTATTCGGGTTATTTTAAAAAATATTTTGACTTGACGGGTACGGTTCCCGCTTCTACGTATCCCCAGATGCAATGGGGAACTCAAAGCCACGTAGTTCTATCTAAAAATTATGAAATTAGTTGATTATAATTAAGTTTAGTAAAAGAAAAATTTATTTTAGAATTAAAATCATTTTTCGTAAAAATTATGATGTTTAGGATACAAGATAATGCAGTTATACATGTACCCTACGAGAAAACAATACAGAAAGTGAAGGAAGATCACACAACTATACTGCAAATCATTAAGAAATATTTTATTCGTAAATGGAGTATTTGAATTTTAATTTTGATTATGATTAATATTGAAAGAAATTTAAGATAGCGTAAGCTATACATAAACTTCTTATAATTTATTAGACTATCGAAGGCAATGTAAATTACACATCGATATTATAAAAATTTATAAAATGAATAAATTATAGTAATTTAATTTATCAAAATTTGAAACATGACTTAAGAAAATAAAAAAAAAATAATTTTATTTGAATTGACTAAAGAAGATACTCATTTAATAAAAAAACATTAAAAATTTTATTTGATAGATTTATATTATATAAAACCTAAGGTAACGTTGGTACACATAGATTTTGACAATTTATAACGCATAAAGGTAGAGTCGCTACACATTAGCATTATAAATTATTTCTTAATAAAATAATCTAGATTTAAATTAGTTGATTGATTTGTAAATTAGTATTTAGAAGAGAAATACATCTTGCATTATTATTAAAGTGATTAACTAATTAATTAATGACAATATGTGATAAGTTAATATTGCATAAAGTCTTGGTAACGTAGGTACACATAGACTTTATCAATTTATAATACATGACGATAGAGAAGCTATACGTTAGTATTATAAATTGATACAATTATATTATTATTTATTAATTAATTATAAAAAAATAAGTAATTTAGTATTCACAATATAAAATAAAATAATCATAAATATAAAATTAAATCGCATTAATATGATACAAATATACAATAAATAAAATAAAAGATAACAATCCTAAAAAATAAGATATAAATAATGAAATATAAAAAAGGAAATAATTTAAAAAAAATCAACTCAGATATGATATTGTAAAGTAAACGGTATCAAGAGATTTTAAATAAATAAAATAAAATAAAATAATTTAAACAAAGTTAACATAAAAAAAATAAAAAAAATAATAAAAACTCATTCATTAAATAAATTAATAATTATCATAATAACAAATAATAATGATGATGAATAAATAAATAAAACTAAAACAATAAATTATATGTTGAACTAAATAATGATAAAAATAAAATAAATAAAAAAATTTCGGACAAAAAAATAATAAAAAAATTAAAAAAGGATAAAATGGTCTCAAATTTTAAATTTTCAGATTTGAGAGGGAAGGACTTTAGGGTTAGGGGTGTGCTTTTCTCCAAGAAAAACAAAAAAAGGTTATGAAAGGGTGGAGGTGAGGTTAATGGAGGCCATGGTTTTGAGTGGTGAAGGTTATTCAGAGCAAAAGGAAGAGGAATGAGACAAGGTAGGGAAAGAGTTTTTTTATGGTGAGTTTTGTATTTGTGGATGATGATAGATGGAGGAATGGGTGGAGAGGTGGTGAGACATGGATATTTGAAATGGTGGTTTAAAATATATTTTTTTCATTTGAGATTGATTTGATATAGGAAATGTTTATTCAAAATATAAATATGTATGAAGAAGAAAAATGTGTAAAATGTATGATGAAGCTTACTTGATGTTCTTGAAAATTTTTGCTTGCCTCTTGTTCTTCCTCCTTTCCACTAACCTTTCTTTCTCTCTATTTTCTCTTTTTCTCTCCCCGTTTTAGAATGCCTCCTCTCAAAAAACATTTTAGCCTCCTTTGATGTCTCCCCCTGCTCCATGGTCTTTTTTTCCTTTTATTGTTAGGGTTTTCACCAAAAGGCCCAAAATTCTAAATTTTTCCTTTTTTATGTATAAAGTAACATTGGTTCAAGAATTTAATTATTTGTCATATTCTATTTTTCTTTTAAAAATTAATTCTGAAATTTTCCTATTTTATTAAGACAAATTTTTATTTTTGTTTTTGTTTTTTTGTTTTTTTTTTTAAACCTTTTGATTCCATTCTTCTTTTGTAATATTAAAATTCAGATTTTTTATTTTTTTATTTTTTCATTTTTATTTAAAAAAAAAATTTAAATCAAAATTTTAGTGTTCACATCCTTCCTTTCCTTCATAATTATATAATTGTTGTCTATAGATAGCTAGTGGTTACTGTTAATACACTCCCTCAAACGAGGCAGAGGTTAAAGGCAGAGTTTGGTTCAAAAGTGCATAAGAGTATTCTTAGACACAGGCTTAGTATACAAATCAGCAACTTGATCATTGGTGGGAATCTGGTGAGTGACAAGATGGCTAAGAGCAACTCGTTCACGAACAAAGAGATAATCTAGTTCAATGTGTTTGTTGCGAGCCTGAAACACAGGGTTAATGGTCATGTGGAGAGTACTAATGTTGTCACAATATAACAATAGAGGGGAGACAAGTGGAATGCGAAGTTCTTTCAAGAGAAAAGTTAGCCACGTGAGTTCAGTTGCAGTGTTTGCCATTGCCCCATATTCAGCTTCAGTGCTAGAGCGAGAAATTATTGGTTGTTTCTTAGGCGCACTATGAGATAGGATTTCTACCAACGAAGATACAATAGCTGGTGGTAGAGTGTCGAGTGATGGGACAACCAACCCAATCTGCATAAAAAAAGCGAAAAGATCAAGTGTAGTCTTTGAAGTAAAATGAAAGCCTACATCAATAGTGCCTTTGACATATTGTAAGATTCAATGAACTATTTTTAAATGGATGATAGTAGGAAATGTATAAATTGAGATACGTAATTAACACTATATATAAGATCAGGATGAGTAAGAGTAAGCTATTATAAAGAATGTTATTAGACATCGTCTTGGTCATAGCTTCAAGTGGTGTGTTCATTGGCTTGAATCAACCAACTTAGTTCGTTCAAGGATAGTAAGGGCATAGTGTGACTGAGAAAGATGGAGGCCATCAAGTGTTGAAAGTCTTTCAATTCCAAGGAAGTGATGAAAAGGTCTTAAGTCCTTCATGGCAAATTCAAAGTGCAAAAGTTGAAGGAAGTCAAAAACTAAAGTGACAGTGGATCCTGCAAGGAGTATATCATCTATATAAAGGAGGAGAATTAGTGAGTTAATATTAGAGTACCAAATAAATAAAGATGGGTCAGTCATACTACAAAAGAAACCATATTTAAGAAGGAAAGAACTAAAGTGATCAAACTAGGCGCGAGGTGCTTGTTTAAGACCAAAAAAAGCTTTTTGGAGTTTGCAAACATGGTTTCGGAATTGAGGGTCAGCCATGCTAGGAGTTTTCTTCA